ATAGCATATATATATATATATTATATATATTAATATTTACGTAAAAATTTAATATATATATACTCCAACTCTTCACTAGATTTTTGCTGTATTTATGATTCTAATTTAAATTCCGAAAGTAATTCATAAATTCACTATATTTATTTATTAATGACAGAAATACAGGATCGAATAATTATGCAAAAAACTTTTCTTTCTTATATAAATTTAAGTGATGTAAATGTAAATATTGCATACGTACCTATTGACATTTAATTTTTACGAATAGCACCAGAGAGGTAAGATGTGGTTAGAGTCAATCACAAGTGCACAACTCCGCCTACCCCGAAAGCCATAAAAGTATGTGAACAAAATCAATAAAAATATAGATTTTTTTTTTGTCAGTCATAAAACACTTCAATTTAGGCCTACATCACTGTCGTACTTTTTTTTTTTTTTTTTGTTAAAAAGACTAAATTTTGGGATTCTCTTTGATCCTTTCTAATGGCCCTCGAATTTTCCAGCTGATTCCCTCTTGCTAGACCTGATTACTAATGGACTAATGAAATAAGGGGCGTCTGGAAAGAATTCTTATGGGAACTGGTCCCTATTTAAGTGTTAGACACTAGAACACTCAGAAAAATTCAGGCGGCTAGTCACGTAACACCGGCAGTTTTCAGTGGTTTTATCTACTGGTAGGCTTGATTACTAACGAAAATTAGTCAGATTTTTGTGTCTTAATATGATATAATTACTTTTGTAAACTAAATAAATAAAATTTTACATTATTCCATGGCCATATTTGTTGAAAATGAATTATTTAATCACAAAAGCATGTACTGTACTTTACTGTCACTATTGAACCATTTAAAAATATGAACTTTAAAGACCATTTAAGTATTAAAATTAAACAAAATATTCAATTAAAATAATAATAATAATAATTCTACTAATGAGATATCTATTAATGATCAAATCAGCTCCAAAGAATATAAATTATGAATGATGCAATAAATGAACTACTATGTACAAATCATATTTGTCACTGATGAGTGATTATTATGATAATTTTGTTAAATAATTTAATTTCATTTCATTAATAGAATATATATATACATAAACCAATAGAATAAATAATTTTAAAATGAAATAATTATTTAACAATTTCAAAAAGACTCTTCTCTTTGTCCTATTTACAGTCGAATCCCCCGATAACACTGTTGATTTTTCCATTTTATATGAATTCCATGTTGTACAAGTCACTTAGATTTTACAAATGTGTGTGCTGGGCTGTGAACGGCTCACGTATTTGTAAAATCTAAGTGACTCGTACAGCATGGAATTCATATAAAACGGAAAAATCAACAGTGTTATAGGGGGGTCAACTGTATATCAACAATTGTCAACTTTAATATAAAATTATAAATACAAAGATATACATAACATACAGAGGCATCCACAGAATATTTTCCATGGGGTAGAGCTTGAAGACAAATATTTAAATTATTAAATCATTTATTAATAATTTTTGGGGAGATTTTACAATAGATTATAGAATACAGTCATGGTAGAGGGTGTAAGGTTTACATATCTCAATCACTTTTATTGAATAAGATCATAATTTGTTGAACTTTTTACTTGATTTCAGGAGAGAGTAAGTGTCCTGTTTTCTTTGTCTATGGATGCTCTTGATAACATATAACACATTAATATATGTTATATATGTTATCTAACTTGTTGTAGTTTCCACTTTTGNCTCTTCGGAAAGTATAAGAGAGCGACGTATGGCTGGTATGCTGAAAGATTCCGCAGCATCCAATACCACTCTCAGAACGTCGGGTACTTGATGAGGATGAAGGCGATGGAGTGTTTTCAGGATTCCAAGAGGATGTTGTAGCTGAGGTTTGACCACGACGCGGGCACCGTACCTGAGAAGAAGACGTAAGAGATATACTTCGGGATTATCTACGGAATTGAAGTATTCTCCCATGGGTGGTTTGAGTAGTGGACCCTGTTCCGATAGGGTGATGGCGTTCGGATCCGCACCGCTATCCAGCAATAGGCGCGTGATGTCTTTCTTGTTTTCCACCTTTTCCGAGAGGGCTATGTGAAGAGGGCAACCGATTATGGGCGATCCCGTGTTTACGTCTGCTCCGGCATCGATGAGCAACTTCACCATCTCCACGTTGTCCCTGAGGATGGCGAAATCTAACGGTGTCGGTTTTTGATAGTCAGAGGGAAAGATGACTCGTGCTCCCCGACTAAGTACCAACTTGACCGTTTCCAGGTTGCCACTCAACACGGCATAGTGAAGTACGGTGCGATTGTCGTGTCTCTCGGGGGTCATGGCATTAACATCCGCCCCGTAATCTATCAGCATTTTAGCAGCCTGAAGACCCTGAGGATGCCTGCACGCCTTCATCAGCGGAGTCAGACCGGATCTGTCGCGTGAATCGGGATCGGCACCGTGTCTCAATAACAATTCCAAAAATTTGATATTTAAGGGGCTAATTAGATTGATCTCCGCACCCAAGAAATAGCGCGCGTTGGGATCTGCACCATTCTTTAGAAGCATCTCGGCACATTCGTAATGGCTATTCTTAATTGCCAGTCGGAGAGGTTCGTCTGCCAGACTGACGCGCGGAGGATTGCCCAGGCTCTTTTCGTCGGCAGTCATTTCCGTAAAGCACACGCGTGCTCCGTGTTTAACCAATAGGTAAATCAAGTCGATGTATCCTCGCTCCGCGCAGAGGTGCAGAGCTGTGTAGCCGACCTCGTCCATGGCATCCGGGTCGCTCCCTCTAACCAGCAATAAATTAACGGCTTCTTTGTATTGTTGATAAGCTGCGTAGTGTAAAGGACGAAGCCCTTGAGTAACCGGCTCGTTCACTTTTGCACCACAGGCCAAGAGAATGCGGATATCGTCCAGCGATGCGCATCGGATGATGCTGTCTGCCAACTCTCTCTGCAGCGTTTGTAAACAGGGCACTGATGGCATGTTGGTGGATCTGCGAAAACAATGAGAAAATACGTTTAAATATGTTATATTTATTGCCCTCCCTCCCTTAACGGCTATATTTAGCGGGCGATTTGGCTTTTGCCGTGGAATATGTACGTTGTAAGTAGGGACGACTTGTTGATGTATCGTCTACCGTGTACATGTATTAAATTTACTTGTTTACGTTCGCAGAAAAACTAATCTGACTTTGCACACTTCTACAAATCTCCAACTACACGCGGCTATAAAACACTCCAATATTCATTTACGTTTTGGACCATGTCTGAAAATTATATTTAGAAAGAAACTTTCGGATAAAATATATATATATATATACGAGTCGCTTTACTTTCTTATTCATTAATATTAATTCGCCATTTTTATATTTTCGATTTTTTTTAAAGGTTATATTAAGGTGCGTACCGCCATCTTGCCTCTAAATATCAAAGCTTCGTAACGGCGCAGTTCGTTAAATTCGAAAACAAAGCTGTGACGTAGTAAATCTTCGATAACGGGGAAACATGTCCCATTAATAGGACTTAACCTCGAAGTAGTTTCTGTTACGGGAAGTCGGCTTTTACCTTCTTCAAGCGCTGACATTCTCAGTCGATTCTAAATATAGAACGTGCTTCTACGCAACGCGACAAAAACACTTGTAAATAAACACATCCGGATGTGTACGTCAACATTGTCAATCTAGAAAAACGTTGTTCACGTGCTACGGGATCCTTGAGCGAGTTAACAAAGAACTGTACTATTTTAGAGTAACTCCGCTTCGCACGATGGTAATACGTGCGCTACCTTATCGTAGAAACACAGGCAACAATACCCAGCTAATGCTTAATATAACAATATTGATATAATATACAAAATACAATTGAAAACACGCGCATTGTTCTGTTAGAAATATAATACAATACGAAAATGAGACAGAAGAACACAAGTTTAGATGTTAATATAAATCTCAAGGTGTTGTTAGCACGTCGGGAAAAGTAAACGTAACACGATATTTACTATAACTCACAGCAAGTGTTAGTGTGTGTGACACACAACATAAAAGCTGGTGTGTTAATTACTTCTATTGCTTAGCGTTAAGACACGTCTCGAGGTAAAATGTAAGGAAGAAGATTACGCATTACTCGGTGTATTACACACCAGAGCATTAAGACACCTAATTAATTAACAATGCGTTAGTGTTAGTGATCTGTGTTTGAGAATGATTCTTTACGTTGTGGGCCATCTCCGAGAACCTTTGGCACTCGGATACCGAGACGATTTTCACGTATAATATCGAATTTTATACGTGTTCGTATGCATAACAATATGAACCAAAGTTATTCTTAAAGAGATAGACGGAAGCCATCTGACATTGAAGTGTCGAGTTATAAAAATAACCGAGACGTTATCCTTTAGAACGGGCAAAATGCCATTCGGCCGCTGCTACGTAGTGTCGAACAGTTATTTCTGAACGGGATTTCCCAACAACGGGCAACAAACGGAAAGCAAGTTTGTTTTCCATACGTCACTTCCGTCTTTTTCCCCCCTTATGGCGAATTAGTTATTAAAAAACAAAACAAAAAAAAACAGAGCGTGATCCGAAACGGACACAATGCGTAAATGAATGCGTGGAGCGTTATTTTTTTTCTCCTCCATGATTAAATTAATGGGAAAATTCGCAGGAAACGTACACAAAGAAGGAAGAGGGTGAATGCAATTTGTTACTTACCCGAGTTTATGATCCCTCCTTTTGTATGTAACAAGATGTAGAGTTGAAAATTGGTTAAGTCAAACGAGTTTGAGACTTGAAAGAAAACTGAAGATGCGTAGATGAGTGGCTTGAGGATATCCTCAACAAAAAAAGCACGTGATCGGCAGAGATGGGCGCCCTCTTTATGCCACCGACTGGATGACGCAGTCGGTTGACGTCTTTCTTTGTCAGCTTGGCAGAGTTTAGAATTAAGTTTGTATCGGCGATATAATATCGCCGTCGATTACATAATTGACGATATAAATAGAAAAATAAAATTCAAACTGTTTATTTATGTTAATTTTACACGTAATAATAGTATTAACAGCGAGAGCGGCGGAGTATGAGGACCTAGGGGGGTGTACTAGATCACGTGATTCGAGTAGCTGCGATTGGTATATTAATTAAATAATGTAAAAATTGTAATCTACAAATATTGATAAAAATGTATTAAATGATAATTAAGTAGGAGCATAAATTTAACTTTTATATTATAAATTTTTAAAAAGTTTTATAAAAATTAAAAATATAAAATTAATTTCACTATTTGAATGTAATTTGAATAAATTGTACAACTTACAATTTAATTTTATCGCGGGATCCATCCTCCGAGTTCGCGGTCTTTTCTTCTTTCCATGTGATCCCGATTTTACCCAGCAAATATTTTGTAACCATGGTTACCAAATACAACTTTAGATAAGATGACCTTGGAAATTTGAATCGATAATGTGTGTCGCCTTCTTAGAAAGTCAATAAACACGTATATTAAAAGTTATAAATAAATATATTTTAATTTATTTTATTAATAAAAATTTTATTAGTTAATTCTTATTTAATCGTAAATTGATTTCGAAAAATTTCGAAATGGAAAAAAAAAAAATTAATAAATTTGTTAACTTTTCGAATTTTCCAAATGTAACCTCTTACATTGCCATCTGACGATGAGAATTGAAATTAATACTGATATCATTTTCTTAAATATTTTTATTAAATTATTTTTATATAGACACAAATTGATCCGAATAACTTGTTAGAATTAATTTAAAAAACGTAAAAAATTAGTCAAAATTTTAAATTTCAAAAAATAAATCTATTCTAACGATAATAATTGAATTGTACTCTGTATATTATTAAGCAAAGTAAATAAAATTGTGTGTGGCACCACCTTACTAACCACGTTAAAGGTATCGTTTTATCGGTTTGTAAAGTCCGAAGAATAACTTTTTGGATAGGATTTTGACTTCCAAGATAGCCTTTGGGCTTTAATTTCAGGATTTCCCTCATATTACGGTTTTTTCGATTGACGAAAGTTATTTGAAAGATTACTCGAAGACCAAAGGTTAAAGAGTATTCGATAATCTTAATCTTTGCCTTCTCTTATTAATGAAATTATTATAACATTGAGGTTTGCATGGTTTGCAATGATGAGAGTATTCACATTGTTTAATGATGAGAATGCTTACAGTAAGGTTAATAGAGGAGCCTGAAAATAAAGGAAAAGCCTGCGAATTTTGGAAAAAATTATATTGTGGATGCAGTAGGTCTTAGAGAAACCTGTGATGAAATTTTCGGAGGCGTCAAGGTGCCTACTTATCGTTTTGGGAAGCCAGGATCGGAAACGGAATCCTGGATATGTCAGGATGACCACCTGGATATGATCACCCGGTCGTCTCCATGGACCTGGACGTGTTTGACCGTAAAACACGTTATGGGTATGAAAAACAAGACATTCCTAGTGTCCTCAGACAGCATTGTTAAATATATAAATAAAGACGAAACGGTAAAAATATTAACCTACTTCTAAAGAGGATCCAAATTTTTAAGTTCAGGTTGACTCAGAAATTTTCATGTATAGTGAGAGAGACTTAACGTAATAGGAGTTTCCACGTGATGAGAAAAAAAAAAAGAAGACTGAGGACGCCTTTCTCGCCACAAGGTCATTTGTTTGTTTCATTTAGGCCTTTAACGGTCGCTTCATAATAGGTCTGAAAGAACCCAAAATAGACATGAATAAAGACTCTTCGCCTTGTAAGCAGTTTTAACGAGGTAGAGAGTGTTAAAAGGCAATAGGTGGCATATAATTAAAATAAAATAAAAATATATTATTTTGTTATCAATTTATTTTTTAATATAGATGAAACATCAAAAAATATATTTTTTGATGCTGTTTCGTATACCAAAAGCAACTTTGTTACAAGAGAAAACTTTAAGTCAGCGGAGAAAAATGAATATACTACAGTCTGTAGACATTTCTTTTTATTTTTCAAGAAATTTCGACCTTTATCAGTGCATTTTTGCCATCGTTTTTGTAATTCAAAAGTATTTTTGCGGTGTCACTCCATTTTGTCAGTACACAAACAACGAAGAAAATCTTGCTGTACTGTTCCATCATTCGCGAAAAGCTGTCCCCAAGCAATTCTTCATAAAATCAAATAGATAGTAAGGAATATAGGGACGAATGAGAAAGAATTTACCAGCCATTTGCTTCGATCTATTGATTCTGCAACGTAGAGTTTGAGACCGCGCATTGTCGTAACTTT